AATCTTTTGCTACCTGTATTTGCTCTCTTATCTCATTGTTGGAGTGATCATTTTTTTGCTTGTATTTGCTCATTTAGGTCATTCTTTAATTCACAGATCATTTTAATTATGAACCTTCTGAACTCCTTCCCTGACATTTCATCAACTTAGCTGTACATAGATTCTGTTATTATATTGTCCTGGTTTGTTTGGGGCACTTTCCTCCCTTGTTTTTTCATGTTGTTTATGCGTCTTCCTTTCTTGCAGTGTGGATCTGAGATATTACAGTTTCTTCCCCATATTCTTGTAGTGTACTCATGCAGATTGTCTGTACCTCACCTTAATGTTGGGCTTCCAGACCCTGCTGATGTCCCACAATGGATGCTACTGCATCCTGGATCTGGGACCTGAATAAGTTGGAGTGGGTAGATCTGGGCCACTGGGTTTGACCTTCCGTGGTAGTCTGCTGGTCGGAAGAGACTGTCCTGCGCCAGAGGCTAGGCTCTATCAGGTGTCTGCCCCCCTGGGAAGGGGTGGACTGGGCTTGCTGTGCTCCTAGGTCCAGCACAGGTGTGTGTGGGTAGATCTGGGCTCCTGGGCTTGACCTCCCACTATAGTCTGCTGGTCAGAAGGGGCAGTCCTGCACCAGAGGTTAGGCTCTGGTGAGTGTCTGCCCCACTGGGAAAGCGGTGGACCAGGCCTGCTGTGTGCCTGGGCCCCGCAGAGGCCAGTGTGGGTGGATCTCTCTTATTGGTTGGTTTGTTTTCTTATTGAGTCTTGAGAGTTCTAAGTGCTAACTCCTTTAGTATATATAAGATTTGCGAATATTTTGTCCCATTCTATTGGTTGTTTTTTCATTCTTTTAGCAGTGTTATTTGAAGAACAGGCATTTTTAATTTGGGGGGAGTTTTCTATTGTTGGTTTTTAGAAGATAAAGCAAAAAAAGCAACATTCTGAATTTTAAAATTTTGGTTCTGGATTTTAAAATTTTTCTTTCTTTCTTTTTGTACTGGGGATTGAACCCAGGGGCACTTAACCACTAAGTTATAGCCCCAACAATTTTTTGTATTTTTATTTAGAGACAGGGTCTCACTGAGTTGCTTAGTGTCTTGCTAAATTTGCTGAGACTGGCTTTGAACTCATGATCCTGCCTCAGCCTCCTGAGCCTCTGGGATTACAGGTGTGTGCCATGGCACCTGGCCTGGTTCTGCATTCATATTCTCTTAGATTCTTACCAACTGTTTTATCTCAGTGACTAGTTATAGCTGAGTGTGCTGGTGCACACTTGTAATTCCACCATCTCTGGAGGTGGAGGCAGGAGAATCATTAGTTTGAGGCCAGCCTCAGCAATTTAATGAGACTCTGTCTTAAAATTAAATAAATAACTAAAAAGAACTTGAGGTGTAGCTCAGTGGTAGAATGCCCCCGGGTTCAATCCCTAGCATATATGTGTACACACACACACACACACACACACCAAAAAAAAAAATCAGTGCCTGGTTACTATGCCTGTCAGGCATGTAGTCTCAAAACATATGATCTAAAATCAAGCAGGTAAGTAATGAGAGAATTTACCACACAGAATGGTAAGTGCTAGGATAGTTTTTATTACAAGAGGCAATGGATGCACACAGAAGAGACTGGAAAAGGCAGATCAGAAAGAGAATTGCATAAGCTGAGACCTGAAGGATGGTAAGAATAACTAAAGAAGTCTCTTGATTTGTACTTGAACTGCCACAAAATGAAATAAATATTGTCCTCTTTAAAGGGAAGACTTTGAAGAGATTCTAGTGAGGAAAAAAAATGGGGAGAATGGTAAATAGTAATTGATCATATAGTGCCCATTATTACTAAAAAAATGCTATCTTAAACTTTATATATCCTGTATTTGTCCTATTTTCAGTAAAATATAAAATATTTCTTAGGGCTGGCAAAAAATTAAGAGATTTTAATTTCCCTCTCTCCTTTCCATGGTATTATAATTTTTCATTGCTTTCAGTATCTCCTACTTTGGAAGTTTCCAGGCACCTAAACTCCAGTTAGAAACTCTTTTTTTTTTCATTTTTTAAAAAATTTTAATTTGTTGTATATGACACCAGGATGCATTAAAATCCATATTACATATAGAGAGCACAATTTTTTATATCTCTGGTTGTACACAAAGTAGAGTCACATCCTTCATGTCTTCATACATGCATTTTGGGTAATGATGACCATCACATTCCAATGTCTTTCATACCCCTATGTTCCCTCCCTTTCTTTCCCTCCCTCCCCTTTTCCCCTTTGCCCTATCTAGAGTTCATTTAATCCTCCCATCCCCACTCCCCCAAGCATATTATGAATCAGCATCCTTAACAGGGTACAGTGGTTCATGGCTGCAATCAAGCAGCTAGGGAGGCTGAGGCAGAAGGATTGCAAGTTTGAGGCCTGCCTGGGCAATTTAGCAAGACATCTCAAAACAAAAAGTAAAAAGTGCTAAGGATGTACCTCAGGGGTAAAGCACTCCTGGATTCAATTTCCAATACTGAAAAAAGAAAGAAAATCCTTATACATATTTTGTATGTAAATAGCACGGCAATATTGAAGTTTTAGAGAATCTCAATAGAGAGATTGTAGATTAAATAAGGACAATAGGTACCAAATTCCAGAGAGAGGCACTAGATCAGGATTTACAGGGTAATTGACTCTTGGACTTTGAAGGTATGAAGCAGTAAAGGAGAATAGGATATTAAGAACTTCTACCCCTCCACCACTCCATGAGTTTAACATGGGCCTCTGCAGAAGGACCAATACACTTGACTGCCTAGCTGCTCTGACAACAGAAGCGAAGAGGCTTCTGCTATACTGATTTCAACCTACTGGACAAAGAAATCTTGAGGGTTTCCATAGATTAGATATGGGCCACACATTTACATATATTCAAGAGATAGTGTGAAATTGTCTTAATTTCTGTTCAAGAGGACTGCCTAAATATTGTAAACACATCTCAGCAAAGAGAAGCTAAAAGTATTTCAGGATTCTCAGGGACTGAGGAAGGAATAAATAAAAGCAATCAGTTGAAAAAGAAGTGTATTTGCCTAGATCAAATAAAACTGCAGATGAGAGCCCCCTAGTGATGATGATCTCCAAAGAACTCCAAAGAACCAAAAATAGTGTGGAAAGAGTCAGTTTAAAAAATCTAACACATTTAGGGCTGGAATTGTAGCTCAGTGGTAGAGCATTTGCCTGGCATGTGTGAGGCACTGGGTTTAATTCTCAGCACTATATATAAACAAATAAATAAATTAAATAAATATCCATCAACAACTAAAAAAAAATTTTTTTTAAATCTTCCATGTTCAAGCCAGGTATGGTGGCGCATGCCTGTAATCCCAGTGACTCAGGAAGCTGAAGCAAGAGGATCGCAAGTTCACATTCAGCCTTAGTGACTTAGTGAGGCCCTAAGCAACTTAGTGAGACCCTGTCTCAAATAAAAAGTGCTGGGGATGTGTCTCAGTGGTTAAGTGCCCTTGGGTTCAATCCCTTATACCAAAAAAAAAAAAAAACCCCACAAAAAACAACAACAAAAACCCTGCTACATTCAGAAAGCAATGTTAGAAAATGTAACGGTAACATTGCCCAATAAATTTTCCTTTGCCCTTCTCTACCCTCCCTTCCCAGAACTCTAATCCCTAAGGGGTCACTAACCACAAGAGCAAACTGGAAAAGAAGGAACAGAAGCATTAGACCAGAAAAGAGAAAAGAAGCTGTCCACGTCCTCCTTTGACTATAAACTGAATGGTCTAAGTTGAAAGAAGGGAGAAGCCTCAACTTTCTGGATATTTATTTATTTGGCACTAGGGATTGAACCCAGGGCTGTTTTACTACTGAACTATACCCCCAGTCCTTTTTTATTTTTTAATCTGAGATAGAGTATTGCTAGGTTGCTTAGGGACTCGATAAATTGTTGAGGCTGGCTTTGAATTTGTGATCCTTCTGCCTCAGCCTCCAGAGCCACTGGGATTACAGGCATACACCACTATGCCTGGCTTAATTTTCAAAATTCTTTGTTTAGCACATTAAATAATTCTTTGTCCTAAAAAAAGGCAATTCAGACTCCAAAACTCCTTGCTTCCACTGGAATGACTTCCAGTGGTTTATGAAAAACTGATTAAACAGAATTTAGAAATGTAGAACCACATGATCACCTTACACATACTCTTTATAACTCTTTAGTGTATTCTGGGATATAAGCACCTAATTTACCTCAGATTATTTTTGTATTTGTTTTGAGACATGATTTCACTGTTGCCTAGGCTGGTCCCAAACTCATAGGCTAAACTGATCTGCATCAGCTTCCTGAGCTGCTGGGACTGCACGTGTGCACCACCAACTCTACTAATTTACCTCAAATTGGATCTAGGTATGATAACTGCATTTAAAATTTTCTCATTGAATCATAATGTGTATAAAAGTATTCTACAGTGGTCTTTCTGGTACTTCCATTAACAAATCCCTAAGGGTAGAATTCAAAGTGGACCTATCTAGTATTAGATTAGGCTTATGTTATTATAACTAATGGTTTGTTTATTTGTTTGATATTATTGGTGACATCTCCAGGCCTATTAACAGAAACACTAGCTAATGCTGAGTTTACCTGTAAATGTACATTTAACTGGTGTGAGTCTAAACTCACACCAAGAACTTAACTTTTGGTACTACAGGAGAAAGTCAAATTAAGGAAACAAAAGATATATAACCAGCTGGGTGTGGTGTCGCATGCCTGTGATCCCAGCAATTTGGGAGGCTGTGACAGGAGGATTAAGACAGGAGGATTGCTAAAGCCAACCCCAGCAGTTTAGTGAGGCCCTAAGCAACTTTGTGAGACCTTGTTTCAAAATAAAAATAAAAAGAGCTGAGGATGTAGCTCTGTGGTAAGATGCCCTGGGTTCAATCCTTGGTATAAAACAAATACACACACACACACACACACACACAAGTCCAATTTCCAGAGTATTCCCAGTCCTATATTTACTCTTTACTTACTGTGATTGAATGGATGCGAGAGATTTTCTGAAGGTAGACTGAATATCTAACTGTAGCAATCTAGGAATATCTGGGTACCCACCCAGTTGGGCCCACAGTGAATGTATTGACATCTTCTCTGTTATTGGGTAGCTTGATGTAGACAGATCAGCATGCCACATGGCTTTCATCCAATCTTCTTGTCTGCAAAATCAAAGATCGTTAAGTGAAAGTGTCAAATGCTTTGAGTTCCATAGTAATCAAAATGAACTTACTCTCCCCTCTTCTCTTCACCACTACCTCGTTCAGTTATGTCCTCCCCTTACACTGAGGACCATTAGTTATGCCCACTATGACAGATAAATGGATAGAAAAACAGAATATGCTGATGTAGTTAACAAAGCTGCATTTCCATGACTGTACCTACCAATCCATTTTTAAGCTTCCTTCTTAGTGTCATGAAGTATGGAGCACATATATCATTTCCTTTTTCCAAAGCTCCTGCCTGGCATGGCACAGCCATGTGATCCTACTACTTGGGAGGCTAACGCAGGAAAAGTTTGAGGTAAACCTCAGCAACCTAGCAAGGCCCTGTCTCAAAAAAAAAAAAGTGGACACAATACCTTTATTTTATTTATTTATTTTTATGTGGTGCTGAGGATCGAACCCAGGGCCTCACACATGCTAGGCAAGCGCTCTACCGCTGAGCCACAACCCCAGCCCTCAATTTCTACTATTGCAAAGGACAAAAAAAAAAAAAAAAAAACAAGGGTTAAGGCTTCTAAGTTTCCTTATTAGATATGGTTAAAATAATTAGTTTCTTAGCTATTTTATAAGGTACTCAAAATTAGGTGTTAAATATTTTTAAGTAAAAATAGACATAAATAAATCTCTTGTTAAATTAGCTAAGGAAATTAATACTCCTGTTCCATATCATAATTATAGTGAAACAGAAGCTGTTGGGCATAACTTTAAAAAAGCATTATGTTTCACAGAGCAACCAAACAAAATTTAACATCAGTCTTTCTACCACATACCTAAATTTCTTGAAAGCATCAGACTTTTTTTCCTCTTCAAATAGTAACTCTAGGAATGGCTGTTGACTAAATTCAGTAGATGTAGGTATTTGATTTTTGTCAATGATCAAGTGGATAGGTAGACTAAGATTCAATTTATACTTCTCTTGGAGCTGAAAATAAATACATAAGAAAAAAGGAATCAACTTATCGCTTCTAAGCCTTTTGGCTTAGATCCAGCGTTTAAAAAAAAAAAAAAAGGAATCATGGGATGAAAAGGCCAGAATTTTAAGAAGGTCTTCTAAACTTACCTTAGACTAAACTATGAGTACTTCTTTCCTTTGGATTTGCAAAGCCTCTTCCTCCTCCACCCTATCTTCAACATACACAATTTCAGAGAGGGCAGCTATGTTATATAAAAACCTTGATGCTACTTAAGTGCTAATCCTAGTCCTCTCATTTCCAGGCTGTGAGACTTTGGATTACTTGCTTAATTTATCTGTACCTCTTTTTCTTATTTCTTTTTTTAATATTTATTTTTAGTTATAGGTGGACACAATATCTTTATTTTATATTTATGTGGTGCTGAGGATCGAAACCAGTGCCTTACACATGCTAGGTGAGCACTCTACCTCTGAGCCACAACCCCAGCCCCTCTTTTTCTAAAACAGGGGTGATAACATAGGATTGCTATGAGAATTGTATAACATACATGGAAGCACTTTATAAATTGTGATGCATATTCAAATGTAATGATAGCTAACTAACATTTAGTGAATACTTACTGAATGCCAGACACTGAGATAAGTACATTCCATATATCAGCTCATTTGGTATTTATAAAAAATTTATGAGGTAAGTACTATCATTATCCAAGTCTTACATATGGAGAATCTGAGGCTCAGAAAACTCAAGTTGTCCAAAGTCACTTAGCTAGTAGTAGCAAAACAGAGTTGAACCCAGTCTAATAGCAGAGTTAACCCTCTTTTTGGGGGGAGGGGTTTAATCAGGGATTGAACTCAGGGGCACTCGACCACTGAGCCACATCCCCAATTCTATTTTGTATTTTATTCAGAGACAGGGTCTCACTGAGTTGCTTAGCACCTCGCTTTTGCTGAGGTTGGCTTTGAACTTGGCAATTATCCTGTCTTAGCCTCCTGAGCTGATGGGATTACAGGCTGGACCACTGTGCCTGACTAGAGCTAACCCTCTTAATCACCATCCTGATTCAGTCAAGGTATTTATTTATAATCTACCCTCTTAATACTTTTGCTTTAGTTCCTGTCTCTTCTTTATGCCTTGATACTCATACCTCATATCATGTGGATTCTGATGTTAATTACCCCAGATCCTTATTCATCCTCTGAAATGCCTTAGACATTGTGTGATTCTTGTTAGAAAATTCATGTTACTGCCAACCTATCTTGCTTTACTCCATGTAGGCTAACCATATTTGCCAAATCAAAACTTGGGCTATATTCATTTTTTAAACAAAGAACTATAATATTTAAAATTAGTCCTTCTGGAAAATTTAGAATATTTGATTTGGATCAGCTATGATGGGAAGTCTCACTATACCTTCCATTTTCCAAATAATTTACATTTTGTAAAGCAATTTTTTTTAATCCTGAGCCACTGGGATTATAAGCCTGCAGCACCATGCCCAGGGTCAATATTTTGTTTTTGTTTTCATTTTGGTATTTGGGATTGAACCCAGGAGCGCTTAACCATTGAACTATATCCCCAGCTCTTTTTACTTTTTGAGAGACAGTCTTACTAAGGCTGGCTTTGAATGTTGCCATCCTCCTGCCTCAGGCCCCTGAGTCACTGGGATTACAGGTGTGTGCCACCATGCCTGGCTAAAGTAATCACCCCGCTAAAGTTAATGAAAGAAAAGGATATATACATATAAAAATATTCCTAGAACTCCAGGAACATTGTGCTAAGAATGCTAAGAATTTCCAAGCACATAATCTCAGGACAAAGAACCTTTTGGAAGGTCATAGTCATGCCCCAAAGCATATTGATTGTTATCAAAAGGATTTTTGGCACATAATGAGTAAGATGCAAGAGTATAGAATCTTCTGCATCTGGTGCTATGTAAGTAAGTTAAACCTTTATCTTCTTTGTAAATTTATTAAAATTGGTTTCCTGATAGTTTTGAGTAGAAAAGTAACCACTCGGAATCATATAGAAAGCAATGACTTCAAGAGGCAATCTATAGGCTGATGAATGTGTATTGACTAGGAAACAATTGAGCATTTCAGGAAATCTCTCCTATTCTCATCTTTTTGTCATCTAGAGATCCAGCAAGTATTCCTATTGTCAAGTATTCACTGAACTTCTAAATTGGGATAGTGGGTTAGATGGTCTCAAGATATATGTCCACCCAGAATCTACAAATGTGTCTTTATTTGGAATAAGTATCTTTTGCAGATGTAATTAAGAATCTCAAAATTAGATCATCCTGGATTAATTGGGTGTGTCCTAAATCTAATGATGTGTGTGTATGTGTGTGTGTGTGTGTGTGTGTTGCTGGGGATTGAACCCAGGGCCTTATGCATATGAGGCAAGCACTCTACCAACTGAGCTATATCCCCAGCCCTGACATGATTTTATAAGAGTCAGAAGACACACTGGGAAGAAGGCCATCTGAAGGCAGAGATTGGAATTATGTGTCTATAAGATAAGGAATATCAATGATTGCTCACAGCCACCACAATCTAGGGGAGAGGCATGGAGCAGGTTTCTCCCTCAGAGCCTGCAGAAAGAACCAACCATATGACACTTTGACCTCAAGAATTTCTAGCCTCTAGAGCTATGAGTAAATACATTCCTGTTTTAAATTATCAAGTTTGAAGTAATTTGTTACAGCAGCCTGAGGAAACTGATATACATGGTGCTTTCAGGTAAATGTTGTTTTCAAAGATTACCAGTTTTATTCTTGTTTACAACACACTGGAGAGAGAGAGAATGGAAAACAGGTTACCTGGCTAAATAAGGACATCATGTTCTTCAGGCACCGACTTCGTTTCTGCTCTAGAGACTTCTGCTTCTCAGTCCAGACCTGCATCACCTTTTTCTGGTAGTCATCAATTCTGCTCAGCATGATGTAGAGGTTTTGCATCTCATAATCTTTCCCAGTGTTTTGGATAGTTTTTAATTGCTTAATTATGTTGTATCTTGAAAAAATTAACAAGAATTAGATTGATATAGTTACTGAGCCTAATTCAGCAAACCTGTGCTCAGTTTCCTTGAACTCTCATCATGTCTAGTAAGTAGAGAGGTACGGAATGAGATGGGGGGCTTATTTAATAAGACCTTAATCTAGTTCCCTATATGAATAAACTTTCAGAAATCCATATGGCTATAAAATTTGCATGAACTCATCACAGAGTTTTCTAGTGTTATAATAGTGTTGCTTAATATTATTTCAATATGTAAAAATTTAATATGCCTATTTGTAATAAAAATTACCCTAGGAAACAAAATACTTATTTTTTTAGTGTTCATATGTATCTTACACATAGGAGGTATATATAACACAATTATGAAAAAGGCAATGTCCATGTCTTCAAAGCATTTACAACCCAGAATAGGAGAATATAAATTAACTGAGAAATAAAAGCAAAAAGTAAACAATTTTGACAAGAGAAATAAAGAAGGCTTTATTGGAAGGTGTCAAAAAGGATCTTCTTTTTTTTTTTTTTTTGGTGATGCTGGGGATGAACCCAGAGGTGTTCTACCACTGAGCTACATCCCCGAGCCTTTTTATTTTTATTTTGAGACAGGGTCTCGATACATTGCCTCAATGATCCTCCTGCCTCAACTTTTAGTAACAGGATTACAGGCATGTTGCCACCCCACCCAGCTTAAATAGGATCTTGAAGATTAGTCATAAAAAATATTCTTCCTTCTGTCTCTGTCTTTCCCCCTCTCTCTATAATGTACACCACCACATTTGGTTTCCTAAGCAGATGAGTCTTGCCATTCCCATTCTACAGGAGAGAAAAAGAATCTCTTTAAAGTTAAGCAATTTTTCTAAAGTTGCAAAATTAATAAATAACAGATTTGGGAAGCAAACCCAGATCTTCTATTTCTACAATAACGTGTGTGTGTGTTTTGTGTGTGTGTTTGTGTTTGTGTGTGTGTGTGTTGTGTTACTGGGGACTGAATTCAGGAGCCCTCTACCACTGAGCTAATTCACCAGCCCTTTTTATTTTTAAAATTTTTGAGAAAGGGTTTTGCTAAGATGCTGAGGGTTTTACTAAATTGCTGAAGTTGGCCTTGAACTTGCTATCCTCCTTCCTTAACCTCCCGAATTACTGGGATTATAGGCCATCACACCTGACTGCAAAAATAATATTTCTTGAAGTGTGGATCCTGACACCTGGACTAAATTATTTGAGGGACTACCCCAAACCTTTTGAATAAAAAATTTGTTAGTATGTTTTAGGAATCTATATTTAAACAGAAGCTGAGGGAAATCTTGGAAGTTTGGAAAACAGAACAGTGAAGAACGGAATAAGGGGAATCCAGGTTGAAGGAATGTTATAAAGGCTCAAAAATGAAAGCTACATTTTTTCAGTGGTAAATACTCTGAGATTTTTTAGACCATAGATATGTGATGAAAGGATTATAACAAAAAATGAGACTAGAATGGTTGGATTATTAAAGATCTTCAAAGGTATATCAAGGAGTTGTTATTTTTTTGGTGATATAGACCTATCAAAGATTTTTCTGAATATATATATATATATATATATATATATATATATCAGTAAGATTTATCTGAGGTTTTTTTTTTAATCTCTATAAAGTAACTTTTAGCTCTTAGGTCTCTTTGTGGGTTAATACTTTGGAACCTACTATATATGGATCATTTAATAATTAATTATATTTTAATTTTCTAATAAGCCTCTTTTTCACATCAGAGTCTTTTTCTTTGTCTTTTTTTTTTTTTTACAATACCTTTATTTTATTTACTTATTTTTATGTGGTGCTGAGGATGAAACCCAGGGCCTCCCATGTGCTAGGCAAGTGCTCTGCTACTGAGCCACAACCCCAGCCCAGAAAAGGGATTTTTAAAATCCAGTTCTGCCACTTACTAGTTGTGTAACTTGGGCAGATAGGATGAACCCAATTCCTCATCTGCACCTTAAATGAATAATATAAAGTTTCTATTTATTGTAGATGCTTTATAAGCCCTGTAGGTACATAACAAGTCTAAATTATTTATCATAAATTTCTCCTCAACTATGAAATAGTTCTCTTTTTTTTAAAAGTGGGGGAGAGAGAGAGAGAGAGAATTTTAATATTTATTTTTTTTTAGTTATTGGCGGACACAACATCTTTGTTTGTATGTGGTGCTGAGAATCGAACCCAGGCCACACGCATGCCAGGTGAGTGTGATACCGCTTGAGCCACATCCCCAGCCCTGAAATATTTCCTTAAACAATCCTAGATTAGACAAAAATTGTTTCCTTTAGTCTGTCAGTTTTTACTATTTCAAGAGTGCAGTTTTTCTTTACTAATTCTACCAACTGGTCTGACATGGATGGCATGGAATTATGCTGTTGAAATATTTCCCTAAATAGAAATTCTGCAAGTGAGTAGGAAATATTTGACTGGTAATTCCACTCTCATCTTTATATTCCTTCAAAACTTTTAGGTGGATGCCATCTGGTCCTGCTTATGCTTCTGAGTAAAGCTTTATTCTCTTTAAATCCATCTTCCATATTATTGGCATTTTAATTCCCTTGCTAAGAATTATTTGGTTTATCCTCTACAATGTACAGCATGAAATACATGCCATTTAGGATTCTCTTTTATCTGGCTTATCTTTCAGTCTCTCTCCCCCGCTCTTTTTTTTTTTTTTTTTTTTTTGGTACCAGGGATTGAACTAAGGACACTAAACCATTGAGCCACCTTCCCAGCCCTATTTTGTATTTTATTTAGAGACAGGGTCTCACTGAGTTGCTTAGTGCCTTGCTTTTGCTGAGGCTGGCTTTGAACTTGCAATCCTCCTGCTTTCTCCTTTATTTTATTTATTTATTTTTATGTGTGTTGAGGATCAAATCCAGGGCTTTACACATGGTAGGCAAATACTCTACCACAGAGCTACAGCCCCAGACCCTCCAGTCTCATCTTTAGCAACATCTCCTTTATTCTGTGTTCAACTGCCTTTCTTTGTTCTGCTATACTCTCTGACTTCCCTGTCTTACTGGTTCTTTGAGAGAGAATTCAAGGGTCCAGATTCTCAGAATCTGTACCTAACTATACCCTATCCTGACTCCTCTTCTGTACACTTTGTACAAATGCCATAATTGTTATTTCTACATCATACTACATAATCATCTTTTCATGTGGTGTGACTATCTCTGAATAGACTTCGAGATAGGAATTACGGCTTCTCCATCTTTGTATCCTTCCATCTCTCACACCTTGGGCCCAACGATAAATAGCTAATATTCAGAAAATGTAGATAAGGGTGGGGCTGGGGCTGTAGCTCAGTGGCAGAACACTTGCTTAGCATATGTGAGGCACTGGGTTTGATCCTTAGCACCGCGTAAAAATAAACAAATAAAATAAAGGCATTGTGTTAGTCTACAACTACAATTTTTTTTTTTAATGTAGATGAAGAAGAGACAGGAAAAGGGTTCAGGAATGGTGGGATGAAATTGACCAAATTATGCTATGTACATATATGAATAGACCACAGTAAACTTCACTTTTTGGTATATCTTTGAAGTGCTAATTTTAAAGAACTGTAAGTAAATAGAAGGAAAATGACTAGAGGAATGAGACTGGGAGAGGGAGGAGCAGAAGGAAATGGGGACTAAAGTGGAGCAAATTTTATTCCATACATATGTAATTATGTCAAGGGCTGGGGTTGTGGCTCAGTGGTAGCGCGCTTGCCTAGGTCGCGTGGCCCTGGGTTCGATCCTCAGCACCACATAAAAATAAATTTTAAAAAAGGTATAAAAAAAGAGGCATATATAATTATGTCAAAATGAGATTCATTTTAGTCGTTATAGTACTGTAGGATATACTAGGTATATATTATAGTATATAATGCTAAGGTATAGTACAACATTATGTGTATCTACACTGCACTAAACATTTAAAATGTTGATGAATCAAATGAGCCTATCTAGTAATAAATCACATTTAGTATCTTTGAGGATTTTCCTCAATATCTAAAGAAATGAGATGTCTCAGTATCATCTGGCCTAGTTTTACATCCTCACCATCATCCCTTCTTTTGTATATTTCACTGATCATATGGTAACACAATCCTAGAACTATATTTTAGCATTTAAATACAAAAATCTTCCTTCACAAATGATTCTACAAAACTTGTTTTATTCAAAAATAGCTTATATTACTATAATACTTCTCTTACACATAGTATTAGAATTATCTTCACCCAGCCATCCTTGTTAGAGAACCTATAATCGGTCAATATTTTATTCCTTTTACATCTGTTGGTGACTTTTGTTGCCATTTGTTTGTCATTTGTTTGTTTTTGAGACAGAGTCTAAGTTGTCCAGACTGGAGTTGAACTTACACTCCTTCTACCTCAGCCTGCCAAATAGCTGGGAGTATAGGCAGACACCACCATGCCTGGCCTTCTATTGATGATTTTATTATGGTAGCATTAAATATTTTTTTAATATTTATTTTTTAGAAGTAGCTGGACACAATACCTTTATTTTGTTTATTTATTTATTATTTATTTTTATGTGATGCTGAGGATTGAACCCAGGGCCTTGCACATGCTAGACGAGAGCTCTACCACTGAACCACAATCCCAGCCCCGGTAGCATTAAATATTAAAGAAGAGTTTTCTGGAAAAAAAAATGACCCTAAATGGGATTAACATTATAATTGTATAAAGCTAAATATTATTATGAAATATTGATCTGCCACCCCCAACCAGTGCGGGTAACTCAGCAAAAGAGCTGAATTAAGATCGCTCGTGTGAATTTGCAGAGACACAAAACAAAACATAGACACAATTTACCTTTATATAAGCTTCAGGGCAGCTTCCCCAGCTCTTAGCCTCAGACTCCCCAAAAGGGAGAGCAAGAGAAAATCCAAGAGGCTGATGAGAAAGAGGGAACACGTTCGGAAATGGGTTTTTATTGGGGGGGACTCTTGTTCTTAGAAAGTTCTATCC